ATTTTGAGGATTTGCTCAGCTCAGAGCCTGACCCCAAATATTGATGAACTTGTAGAAAAGTTAAGACACCACCGAGTATAAGCCTCAGCCTCAAAGAAGTGAATATTACTTATAATATACTGTGCAATCACATACTAAGAGTTTTTACTCAGTTCAAGTTTTTTTCTTGAAGAAAGTGTTGTTTTTGGTTTATACATTTTTGCACTTTATTTTATTGTATTTCAATCCTATTATGTTTTGAAAATATTTTATTCGAGTAAATGATCGAAAATTACTGCACTATTATTTGTTTTTCTTTTAAGTAAATTTAACCTACTTTTGCTAAAAGAGAAAATATGGACTATTGATAGGGCTTCTTTCATTCATGTTATGGGTATTTTTATACAAAGGAAATTTTTTTGTGCCTGTTGAAAATTAAAGTTTACTGACATAGCCATAAAAAAATGTTGCTTTATTTATCTGACCATATTGGAATGTATTTGTTAGGTTTTGGTTCAATAAACAATATGTGGTCATTTTTAAAATTTTCAATGAACATTCGATCAGTCCGGCCCTCGGCTTGCAGCAAAATTTTTTATCTGGCCCTCCGTCCATTTGACTTTGACACCCTTGCTCTAAATTGACCCTAGGTGTGAGTGTGGGCGTGGATGGTTGTGCATCTCTGTGTGCCCTGCGATTGGCTGGCGACCGATTCAGGGTGTCCCGCGCCTACTGCCGGAAGACAGCTGGGATAGGCTCCAGCACCACCCGCAGCCCTCGTGAGGATAAAGCGGTTTGGAAAATGAATGAATGAATGTTTCATGTCCGTGTTTGTGACCAGTTCTCATGGCTTTGTTACAGCTGCAGCGATTGTGAAGGTTCTATATAAATAAAGCTGTATTGTATTGTATTCCCTTAAGAGTGGCTCCTCCAATTGAATGCATAGCGCAATCGCAGCCACTTTTATAGCTTCTATTCAATGCTCCTTATAATGCAGTGCACCCTATATATGAAAACAGTTTTTAAATAGGCCATTCATTGATGGTACCCTTTATAATCTGAAGCGCCTTATCGTGCAGAAAATACAGTACTTGGATAATTAAATAGTAAATACATCTACATCCTTACAAAAGGGTACACAGCATTTCTCCTTACTCAGCGAGTGGGAAAGTACATTCAGGGTCAAGTACCTTTGTGGAATATGTGGGCTTGTCTACAGCTTCATCCCCGATGTAGAAATCCAAGTCGTCCACCCCCTTCATCATTCTCCGCTGAGCTTGGTCTCCAACCTTAGCTGACTCTTTGATGGCAATACCTGACAGGAAAATTTGAATTTACATAGTTGGCAAAATTGAGTTGCGAAATTGATACTGTCTAGTGTAAGCAGCTTTATTTGATTCAAAGTAAGTACATAAAATTGTAAACAATTCAAACTTTTGTGGATCGCTGAAGCAGTGAAACACTTCCTCTTCTAAAAGGTACATTGTCGGCATTGTGGCATGCTGAGCTGGTGTGCCCCGAAATCTATAGTGCAAAACTCACATGATGGAATGATGAATTGTGGCTCTGTGTTCCCTGCATACCCCAGTTTGGTGTAACTGCAAGAGAAAAAAAAAAGAAAAAAGTGGCATTCGCCAGTCATTCCCGCAATCAATGTCATTTTTTTCCCCTCTTAGTTGCATATGAACGGTTCCGTGTTACAGCCCGCCCAATGTCACAGCGATTACCTCAGCTGCTAAATAACGGCCAAGATGGCGCTGTGCAGGGTATGTCATTATTTTGATACTTAATCAGCTAAAGCTTTTTTTCCGGAAATTAGATGCCATTGTCATTTGCATTATTAAGGTTTATACATGCCGCCTAATCGGGTGAAGGACAATGAGTGTTCAATGGCGTGTTGTTTAAAGTAAGACTAGCTTTTGCAAAGAATTTCAAGTGAAATTTTTTAAGTGGTCTACTGGGGTGGAGGTCTGCTAACAGGAAGACTACTTAAAAAAAAAAAATCTATTTAGGACTTAGCTGATTGGTTAACAAAAAGTAAATGCCTCCAGCTAAGAAAAAGAATTATACATGAGCAAAATACATATTAAGCATCCCCATTCAACATTCGGTAGGTACATAATAGGGTTTCAAATTTCTCTCCTCTCTTGTTCAAGTCACTACTATGTCTGGCGCGTTGCAAGGCACATGCCAACCAGATGTACTCTTGTCTTGGGAAAGCCCAGACATCCTGTTCTCTGGGCTGAGATGAGAAAAGAAGTTGACCGCTGCCAAATGGCTGGGGTATGATAGGCCACATCCTGGTCATAATAGTGTCTACAGAAGAATGAAGCAATACTTACTTAGATTTGATTCCATATTCGAGTTCTACCAGGAACAGAGGTGACACAGCTTGTCTCACAATTTGCTTCATTATTCATGCATTAATAAACAAAACAAAAAAACGTACCACACACAAAAATACTGGCTGACACATTTCATTGATATTTATTCACTTATAACGAATGCCTGGAACCACTGACAACAAAGCATTACATACTGTAACTACTTTTCCATATCACATTGGTGACGTTTTTAAAACACCAATCCAAACATCTTTTTTCATTGAACTGTTAAGTTAATATCAGATGTCCCTTGTTTAAAAACACAAAGACAGACTCAGAGAATAAATAATATGTGGCAGCAAACATACTTCATGCCTTCATACCATTGAACAGTCCCAGCTTGCCCACTTCAACCTGTCTCAACAGGCTTGAACTACACCACAAGTCTGGGTGGAGTTATTTTGGCAGCAGACACCTAAGTAGACTGAATTCCTGTGCTAAACTCCTGTTGATAAATGATTGGATTCAACAACTTTTAACAATTTAAGGTATTATATTTTTTAAGATGCTTAGGATACTAGTTGATCAAAACTAACTTTTAGATAGTTCAATAAAGACATTCCGATAACATTATTATTTCAATAAATTTCAACCACAGGATAGGCTATGTAAAGTGGCAAAAACACACTGTAACTCATGACATTCACATTCTTGTGACGGTGTCACAAAGTTTCAGTTCATTGCTGTCTGTGTTTTTTTAAAACCCCCCGACTTCACAACATCTGCCTTCAAGTTTATTAGCGCTGATTTCAGTGCTTCCGCCATGTTGTTTTGAAATGCTACTCTCGCGTAGTAGTGATGAGATCTTGCGTGACCCAAGAAGTCGAATTAATTCATAGGAAAAATATCAATTTATGGTTTAAGGAATCGATATCGCTCGGTGAAAAGGAAAATCTATTTTGTTTTGAAGAGTCAGTGCAGCTCAGCCTTGGCACAGGGTTATAGCAAGCAAAATGTTTTTGGCTGTAAAATCAAAGTGGTTTATCCATCCATCCATCCATCATTTGATACACTTATCCTCACGAGAGTCGCGGGTGTCCTGGAGCCTATCCTAGCTGTCTTGGGGCAGCAGGCAGGGTACATACACCTTGAACTGGTCGCCAGCCAATCGCAAGGCACACATAGATGAACACCCATTCGCGCTCACAATCACTTGGGACAATATAGAGAGTTCAATCAACCTACAGTTGAGAACCACTGGTAGAAAACAGTCTGCAGGAGTGTCTAAAATATCTACATGAAAACAATCCAAATCCTTGCTTGCAGATTCTGGTAAATTTAGTTATTTGCACAAACAGATTGTAATAATAAATTAAACAAATCGCCACGTAAGGAATGAGGAAGACAAATTTCTAAAATGACATGAAATGGCAAACAATGCGAAAAAAGCAAAATGTTGGATAAACGCAAACTCGGCTATAAGAGGGTTTGTTTCCTGCTATTCTTTGCAGAAAACGCCACATTACAGACGATCAAATATTTCAGAAATCATCAAAAAAAGCCCACGATGCAACGAATAACCATATATGGACTAAAAAGAATGAATGAGGAAGTGCGCGCTGCAGCGAATGCTGTTACTGCGCATGCTCATATGTAGCAAAGACACGGACACAATCTTGGGCGGAAAGCGTCCAAGAACACGTACGTTTTGGATCCAAGAGTGTGAGTCTAATAAAGGCACACTTAATGAATTAAACCGGTGCGAGGTACTAACTTCTTTTCTGGTCTGGGTCTTTACGACCTTATAAAAACATTGAAATCTCCTCGACAGGAAGAAAGACTTTGATGAGTTGCCATAGGCAAACAAGCAATGTATGACACACATGAAAGCCCACTGAGCAGGCTAACTATGATAATATTAGTGTTTCAAAAGCTTTGCCGTCCGCAGCTTGGCTTGTTGGCTATCCACTAACACAATTAGACGCGGAGACCTCCACACCCCGTTATTGCTGCTGCTCTTGACAGCGTCTCTCACTTGCAATAGGTAACACCCGGGCCCTGTGCAGCACATATATCTTACCCTGTCCCGCAGTCCACAACACACGCCGGTAGCCGTCCAGCCATCTTTCCCCGAGTTTCTGGTGTGTAGAAAGGGTAAGATGACGTCTAGCAGGCTGTGTGAGCAGAAGAAACGAACCGGCGAGCTGTCCACAGGCGGAACCCTGAGCCCAGCCCGCAGAGTGGCGTTGCGTTTCCACTTTCCACTTCCGTACTCGGCTTCGGTAGACAGGCAGGAAAAGGCAAGATGGCGGAGGCCGGCCGAATAAAGGAAGACACGGGCAGAGTTCTATCGCTGTCCATCACAGCGAGAAGAAAATGTCACTTTATGGTACAGTGGGAAATAAAAATAAATTTTTAATGTGTTAATTTGTTGTTTGTTTTCTGTTACGAGATGTTGTGTCGTACTACACTAACGTCACGAGTGTCAAACGTAACACAAATTTAAGGTGATGTGATCACTAAAGTATTTTTATCAGAATGCGTTCGCATTACTGTATGTGTACCAACAATAAATAACTTCCAGCACATTCCCGTTTTTTGATCCTCGTTCCACACCAGCTGGTGGCAGCATTTGTCTTCCATCACGAAGCCAAACCAAAGAAGAAACAACATGATCGTCCGTGGGGAAGCAGGCGCCACAGTTTCATAAAGAACGAAAAGATATGGCACATTTTCGTGGTCAGATTCGGGGGCCACACTGGGGCGCTAAAAGGGATAACGTACTAATAGATTTCTGGAAAAGGCACGAATGTTTGTTTAATTCTTCGCTGGAGTCTTTCTACGACCGGGACATGAAGACAAAGCTGTGGTCCGAGTGTGCCTTGTTGATTGGGAAATCTGGTATGATTGAGTTACGTTGGAATAAAACATCTAATGTTAAATTTTGTCCTAATTAACATAGACTAAATGTCTACTGGACGCCGATAGCTTTGTAGGGCGCAATGTCAGCATTTTGATAACCATGATTACTCATATTGCGTGGGGGAAAAAGTACACTTCGGATTATTATCAAAGAATACATTTGTTAAATTTCTCCTTAACATAATACCATGTGTAGTTTATCTTCTTTGAGCCATTATCATAAGAGTCATTCAGTGTACATTTACCGTGTTTGACTCTGTCTTCTTCTTTACACAAGTAAGTGATGTTGTGAGAAGATCACGGTCCCTGCGGACTCAGTATGGAAGGGTGTTATGGCACCCAGAGAGGGTAATTACTTTTCAGCAAAGGATGCTGAGAGAGAAACTGGATTTCCTGAGACCTTACATTGTACGAAGACGAGGTGATTCCTATCCGGTAAATAGAAACCAACACACTGTCTTCATGCAAATGTTTGTTGATTTTGATTTTCCAAACAATTTTGTTGCAGGAAGACAAGTCTGACGATCATGAGGATGATGAGGGAGAGATTGAGACTGAGGGGAGTAATGACCATGAGACAGGTACAAGTACGTTTGGGAGCGCATTGGATGATGATGACGCTGGGCAAGATCCAAATGAGGAATTTCCATCCGAGGCATCCACTTCAAACCCTTCTTCCTACGGTGCCAAAATACAACCTCCTCTTGCAGAAACCATGTCCTTGAACTTTGAACCTCATGATGACAAAGGTTCACCTGATGTTCCGGATCAATTAACAGCAAATCTATCTAATCAGGATGTATTAAACCAGTTTGTCAACGTCATGCTGGCAGATATGCGTCAGATTAAAGACAACATGGTACTTATCCGACTTCGAAGAGATATCACTGATCTGGTGTTCAAAGCAGTGGAGGAGGACATGCAGAGACGTAATCCAGTGCCCTTTACGCAGCCAGGAGAAACTGCACAACTACCTAGTTCCTCAAGGCCTCAAACATGCATGCAGAGGGTATTGAAGAGAAAGAACTGGGGACCTGTCAAGAACATGAGGAGGTTTTGCAGAATCCAAGCAGGTCAAGCGCTTGAGGAGATGAATGGAAATATCCCTCAGGCTATGATTCAGGCTTCAGAGATCAAATTAGAAATAGATCCACACATGGTTAAGGCAGAGGATGAGACACTTACTTAGGACTGAAATGGATCCTCGAGCAATTTGAGTACCTTGATACAACAACAAAAAAATGTTCGAGCCATTTTTTTCTGCCTCGAGTAACCGATAATTTACGTATACACTGTCAGGAAGAAGTCAAGCCAACCTCAACATTTGTACATGCTATACATGACAGTAACACGCTGACAACGCAGTAAGAAGGCCAGCTTTAAAATAAACCATATGATGTCAATGCCCAAAGGGCGCTTTTATTTTGAAGTTCCTGGCAGCGTGTCGCCCCATAACAGCTACCGGTATTTTGAATTATTTTCCAGACTGTGTTGGAGGGAGGGGGGGTCGTTTATGACCGTCACAAACCTTTGCTTCCAATGACGTTTTCCCGAAAAAATGTTAAGTCACCAATTAAAGGCGCAAAGAAAAAACAACTTAATTATGCCGACACCGTATTGTACGGTGCTAGCTGCGCTAACAGGCAGCGTCAAGTTAATAGACCAAAAAGACTGCACCCTGATGCTGACAGCCTGACACAATTTTAGGTTCCGAATGATCCTTATTCAACACACTTGCTGTTCTTTTACATTCCCGTCAGTCTCCTTGTACCGCTGTTATTCAACAAATCATGTTAAAAATGATAAATAATACTGATCAGAAGTAATGACGTGTCATAATGTCATAAAATGGAACTGTGATCAAAAATGAACTTCATTTGTGATGACTTGATATTTAATTTAATACCCTAACCGGTAGAGGATATACAAGTGCATGACCAAACAAGGTTATTCATTTAAACTAGGCATGGGCCCATTACTGGTTTGACAGTGTCCTGTGGGTTTAAAAAGTCAAGGTTTCAATAACTGCTAATACTGACTGTCATCGGTAATGAGCGCTTTTTTTCCTCTTTTGTGGGGATGTGTAAGCAGGACACTATCAGTGCATAGTTGAGTAGCTTGAAATTAAATGCATCCAAGTAACTTTTTTTTTCCTTCTTCTGTGCAAGTAGTTACTCATAGAGGAGGAGGAGGGAGGGAAAAAGACCAAAGAGAAACTGCAAACATGGTTGAGTTTTTGCTGCAATTCATGTGCATTGTCCTTTTAAAAAAAATTGTGCCAGTGGGTACTAGTTGGACCCAAGGACATGAGTAGCCCACGAGTCTTTTCCAAAAATAGCTGACCAGTGTTGGCCCACTGTGACTTCCAAAGAAGAATTAAAACTGAACAATCTTCAATTTTTTTATTTTCTTATTTAAACTTAACATGGTACGATTCTTCTTTACCCACTACTCTATTCTATATTTTGTTTAAAAATAAAATAGATTTATTCAATGGGGGGGGGGGGAGCAGTTTTTATTTACCCATATCTTAAAAAAAAAAAAAAAAGGTCATTTTAGAAATGTAATTTCAGTGATACCGCCAGATTTCTGGTTACGGTTATCATACTGTCAGACTATAATATCGGCCCAGGCCTAATTGAAACCGTTATTAACATGAAAAGCAGCTGTCAAAAATCCCATCATCATAAACCAAAGAACACTTGTCATTTTGTATCGACAATCTGAGAGTATGCCTTTATTTAAGAAAATATTTTGTTCTTATCAAGAAGCTGTTCCTTTTGATAAATTCACCAGTCATTTTTAAACAAATTTGGTGAAAGAAGTTGTTAACCTCTTTGGTTAGCAGGCAGGGATATTTATTTTTAATCTCATCTCACACGATGCTTCATACGATTGATACGATACTTAATACAATATGAAACGTGTAAACTGTGCCCTATTTTAGATAAATAAAGTTTGCTCATTGGACCATTTGGAGCTTTGGTGAGTAAATGTCTGTTATTGATGCTTTTCAAGGTTTTATTAAGAAAAGAAATCAATTTTCCACTACAGATATGGCCTCATTTTACATTTTTAAATGAGAAGAATTTACAGATTGCAACATGAACACATACAGTGTTATAAAATCTCTTTATGAACTGCCTATGTTTTAGATATGCTAATTTCTATGTATTTTGCTATTGTTTAAATATTTGCATTTGACCTCTTCTTTCCTCATTTCTGTTCAATATGTAAAACTTGTACAGCATTTCCTATCCAGGCATGTATGAGATCGAGGGGATGTGTTTGCTGTGGGTCGTGACCGAAAGAACAAAATCCTGGCCAGATAAAAGCGGCCAAAATGAATTTCTTCTGCGGGGTGTCCAGGCTCTCTCTCCCTTGGAGATAGGATGAGAAGCTCAAACATCTGGGAGGAACTCAGAGTTGAGCCGCTGCTCCTCCACATTGAGAGGAGCTTGATGAGTTGATTTGCGCATCTGATTAGGCCCCCCCTCCTGGACGCCTCCCTAGTGAGGTGTTCGGGCACGTCCCACCGGCAGAAGTTCCCGGGGATGAACCTTTGCCTTGGACAAGATGGATTGTTATAAGCCGACAAAAGCAAACATTCTTGGATCATGGATCAGTTCTTAACAAAACGCCAGACAAAAACCACTTCTGAGAGAGAACATAGACTAAAGAAGGCAATTTTTTACTGCGGTCAAGCCAGTAAAATGATGACGCAGTTGAAAGTGAAATGAACATCAACATCATATTCTTTATTCTTTGTTTTTTACATCATCCACAACTCTCATTTATTGTGCAATAAGCTAATTGTAACATGTATTTGTTACATATTTTGATGCATTATGCTTTACGAAACACTTGTGTCTGAATGCACTTGTGTCGGAATGGGGGGCGGGGGGGCATCGAACGAATTGTTTGTTTGTTTGTTTTGTTTGTTTGTTTGTTTATTGAACATAAAACATATACAGTAATAATTTGACAGAAAATAAGGTAAATAAAATAGTAAAGAGGAAAGAGAAATTAGTCATCATTCAACACAGTTATTATGTTCAAGGGAGTAGGAAGAAGTAAAGAACTTATCTAGTCCTACCCCGTGTTGTATGTTTATATCTATTGAATCATTTTTATATCAATCAGAAAAGAAACAAAGTAAGAAGAAAGAAGTCTCCATTAAGGCTCATGCTTTACCCTTAACCGTGATATTTTTATACTTTTGGTTTGTATCGGGAATTTATACATACACACCCTGGCACTCTTGTGTTAATTTTCTCTTGTATTCATAATGGATATTTCAATACCTTTCTCTATTTATCAACCTAGTTCTGATTCATTATATTTAATGTTTAGAATTTATCATTTTAACTCTGATTGTTGTAGGTAGTTTGTACTATTTTTTTGAATTTGTTTTTGAACTCAGCAAGCATCAATGAAGGATGGAGGAAATGTATTTTTGCAATTTATGCGTTCTCCCAACAATATTTTTTTTAAAAATCAAAACACCACTGTGAATCGAGGTGCAGACGAACCTTGGGACTCATTATACTATAATGATGACAATGTAGCTACAAACGGACGGAGTGGGTGGTGGAAAGGATCGAATTAGCATAAAATGGATGAAAATGTGTTTCTTGATTGTATTGTCCTCACTGAAGGCAGGACCCATCATGTTCAGTCCATGTGTGACAGCAGCTTGTGTACTGTATTCTGTCTTGGAACGAGGCAACCACATGCTGCTTCACCATGTCTCCAGATGATGTACCCACATGTCATTGCCCGGTTTGTTACACATCCACTCTATTTTATATTATGAGCCTTCATGGGTTCAATGATTTCCGGCTTTATTTGGCATTATTCGTTTTAGAATGGGATCAAATGCTGTGGCGGGCCGTGGCCCACAGGCTGAAAGTGTTATTTTCAACCAGCCTCCTTCTTCTACTTCCGTCTCGATTCCTGAGCCGGCCTTTGGCCAAATAGGCTCTTTGTCTGTCTACGCCTCCTCAGCGTCACTATTAACCTGTCGGCTTTCAGGGATGGGGGTGAGGGGGGGGCCTTAGCAACCGCCCATCAACACATCCAAGAAGCAAAAAATTCCAAGGCACTCCCTCCGACTGCCTCATTAGAGGTGCTGGATCGGCTGGAAAAAAAAAAAGAGAGCTCATCTGAGGTAGTCTGAACGGTGAAGCAAATAGCTCAATTTGGAGGAAGTCATCCGTAATGTAGAATGTCATACGACAGCCACAGTTGCTATATCACCAGCTCAGCTAATTTAATAGCTTCGCACCCGTTGTTCTAGGAAACTTTCATTACTAAATGTATGAGGTACTGCCAGCTAACTTGGGTTTGGTGGGGTGGGGGGAGAGCTACACAAAAGACATTTGCACAACAGGCATGAAGCACAAACAGAAACGGATCCTGGTCCCCCCCAAAGGGGATTCAGTTGAACCAGACAACCGAGCCAATTACCAGGAATTGCCAAAACCTGCCCCGGTGGCACCGACTCACAGGAAACAAGGCAGTTGGACTCGCAATACCTGATGACATACGCAAGCAAAGCCCATTTCACACAGAGATCCTGCAAAATGGATGCATCTGTGTCGTGACAGAAAATACGAAATTCTTCTCACCACTGTGGTGGCATTGCGGAAGAGACGTCATGGGAAATTCAACAGAGCAGGCAAAAACAAGATGCTACATGTGACATGAGAAAATGATGCGCTTGTCGTTCGATTTGCTGAAGCAGCATGTGGCTTGTTAAAGGTTATTTTGTTCCAGGTAACGAAAAAAAAATATTTGATCAAGAGGCTCGAGATTTAGTACAAGAGTGACAGCAGCTGCCATGTTCGTCAGAAGACCTTGTCGGCTGCATTGTGTTCTACCTTCCCGTCAGTCTAAAGCGGGGGTCGGCAACCCGCGGCTCCAGAGCCAGAGAAAATTGAAAAAGATGGGGCAGGGAAACATATACTTTGTTTTAATATGGTTTCTGTAGGAGGACAAACGTGACACAAACATTCTTTTCCAATGCTGTAAAAATGTGTTGAATATATCTTAAAATTGAACATTTTTGTCAACGAGGATTTGCGTCATAGCTTGCGACACACGTTTCTATTAGCAGGACGGGATGCCAGGCTGTTGTTAAAAAAATTTCCTGTACAATTCACCGAGGGTACTGGCAAAGATTGAGAATGTGGAGGGCCGAGAGAAGCAATTTCTAAACGGTACACGTGAGCTACGAAAAGTACGAAAAGAAAAGTGCGTCCCATGCCTCGATCATCTTAGGGGCCGTTATGGCTGTTGTTCAGTGTGGCATGCGTGCGTAAGCGCGCGTGTGCAGAAATGGGTCGATCGTGGGAGGTTGGTTGATCAAAAAGTAGATCTTCGATCAAAAAAAAAAAATTGGGCGGGATGCACTGCGCGATGCACTGCAAAAAAAAAAAAAAAAAATTAACCATAAAGGCTCATTGTGTATTTGTAGCCAACTTAGTTATTTTGATCGTAGGCTAATGTAGCTCATATAGATACATACAGCAAGTGTTGCCTTCATTGTAAGGCTTATATAAGGCTCTTCATTTTTTGTGGCTCTTGACATATTTGAGTTTTTTGGTCCAATATGGTTCTTTCAACATTTTGGGTTGCCGACCCCTGGTCTAAAGACAAATCTTGGGGATTATTCGCATTAATCAAAGTTATATTGTCTAAAAAGTCTTGCTCCAACAAAGAGAGCTCCCACGCAGCATGAGTATTATTGTGTCGTCCTAAGAAAATGTCTCTCTCTTTCCTGTCACCTCCATCAGAAGAGCCTTGACCGCTGCTGGCAGGACGCCCACCAGCTTAAGAAGCCACAAAGAGGATTTGCACATAAACAGA